CGACGATCACTGTCACCCAGGTGGTCGAGCACCCACAGCCCCATCATCCGTGGCCAGTACCAGGTCCAACAAGGCGTCTCCCCTGGTGGGGCTGTGCACCTCCTGGGTTAGATGGAGGTCCTGCATTTGGGCTAGGAAACTACGTGAGCGGTCAGACCTGGCTGACTGCTGTTCTCAGCAGATGTCTGGAAATATAATTTCATTATTAACTTTAATGCAACATAAAGTCTTTTTTTTATTTAATTAGGTTATTTCTGCAAGAAAAGGCGAGTTTGAAACTGGATTTGAAAAAGGTGGACAAACAAGAGAACATGCCATGTTAGCAAAGACAGCGGGTGTAAAACATTTAATAGTTCTTATTAATAAAATGGATGATCCAACCGTAAACTGGAGTAATGAAAGGTGAGTTTCTAATATAAAAATTAGTCATTTCTTGTATAGCTAAATTGTTTTAACTGGAAATGTATGCAGTTCAATATAATTTTTACTAGAAGTCCAGTTTGGTTGGAAAAAGGATTGATTTACAATAGGTATTATCAAAAACAAAAATGCCCCCACTGTCAAAGTAGATAATATCTTTTTAAGGCTTATATGCAGCCATATTTAACAGTCACTTGGAAAATTTTAAATACGTTGAAAGCTGGGGAGAGAGTGCTTCAGGATCTATAGTTCCTTTTGCAGTGTTTCCCCACACTTTTGCAATAATTTGAATAAAACTATATAGCAAAAGGGCCATTCTCAGTCTTCATTTTAAATGTGCTTTCTTATCTCCCCTGGACTGAGTTTTGGTGAATTATATACTAATGTTAAAGTACACACACAGAGCAATGATAGGTAATGCACTTAAAATAAATGTTGTTGAACAAGTAAAATAGTTCTGTTGTCAAGAATTTAAATATGTTCCTATCGTGCTTTGAAGTTTTGTCATGAGAGGCTGAGAAGCAAATGAGACAGTGAGTAATAAGTAAAGTTGTTCATAGCCATAGCTTGGAAAAAAGGTGCCTAAGCACTGCCCAAACAAAAATAGATACAAAAGATGAGCACCCCAGCAGTCAGCCCTCCCTCCTTTCCTTCCTCCTTATGCCCACATAACTGAGTGATTGGACATCTATCAATTTTGTGTCTGGCAGACCTATTGGAAGGCTCTGGTTTTCTTATTAGCTTCTGGTAGCAAATGTGAAAGCTAAAACGTACCTGGAAAGGTGTTATGCCTCTCCTTTTCCAGAGCAGTCTGGCTGCTGTAGAGTATGAGAGAGAGACTACTTCACCCTTCTTCCCTGGAGTCTCCCATGTAGGGAAAGGGTGCATCACTGATGTCTCCTGAGTGACTTTTGGCCACATGTGAAAAAGTATCTCCTACCATGGTTGGGAAATTATTTGTATGTGCACAGCTTAAGAATTCTGGTTAGTATTATGAAGGGTTTTAATGCTTCTGTGCTCAGTCATCCTTGACCAGACTTTTGTTAAGTCCCTCCCAGACCAGTGGCAGTAGTCAGTAATTACATTTTAATGCTAATCTATGGAAGTGGAAACAACTTGGGACAAAAGGTGTTTATTATCCATGACAACTAGCTTTTCAGGAAGTTCCCCCAGCTCGACAACAGAAAAAGCATGACAAGAATGATCTCCACCCTAGAGTTCTAAAGGAACTGGCTGAGGTCATTATAAGCCCCCTGGCACGGCTTTACGAGCACTCGTGGTGCTCTGGAGAGGTACTGGAGGACTGGAAGAGGGCCAACGTAGTTCCCATCTTCAAAAAAGGGAGGAAGGAGGACCCAGGAAACTATAGGCCAGTTAGTCTTACCTCGATCCTAGGCAAGCT